CACAGATTCTGGCAGTACGGCAGATGGGTAGACGTGGTGATCGACGACAGATTGCCGACGTATCGGGGCGAATTGCTCTACTTGCACTCGGCCGAGGTGAACGAATTCTGGAGCGCTCTTCTGGAGAAGGCGTACGCCAAGCTTCACGGCTCGTACGAAGCGTTGAAAGGTGGCACAACCTGCGAGGCCATGGAGGATTTCACAGGTGGCGTGACGGAAATGTATCAGATGGACGAAACGCCTCCAAATCTATTTAGCATTTTGCTAAAGGCTTTCGAACGCAACTCGCTCATGGGTTGTTCCATCGAGGTAAATCCCAAATTCACACATTTCCTCTCTCTCTCTCTCTCTCTCTCTCTCTGTCCATGCTACAAGTTTCTACACACACAAGTAGTCATTAAATTACCATTTTATTTCGAAAAGATTTCTTTTCGAAATAAAATGCAACAAAATATTATAAACAAACAACAAGTACAAAAACAATGTAATAGTTTGGAAACGTAAATAATTATTAACTAGTATAAAATTTTTTATTAATAAATTATAATTAATTTTAAATGACGACACGTACAAGCCGCGTTCCACCAATTAAACCGATTAAAATTATTCGAATATATATACGAGTTACTACTACTGCTTGTTTCAGCCTGATCCAAATGTATTGGAAGCCGAGACGCCTCAAGGATTGATCAGAGGCCACGCTTACAGCATCACACGCGTGAAACACGTGGAGATTCAAACGCCGAATCAATATGGGAGAATACCGCTACTCAGGCTTCGAAATCCGTGGGGAAACGAGGCGGAATGGAACGGTCCGTGGAGCGATCAGTAAGTCGTTCAGGTGGTGGTCGAGAGACTTTACCTACACCAACACGCGATACGTTGTTCCGCAAGGAATGAAACGAACTGAAACGAACGAACCATCGTTTTCCGACCATGCAGGTCGCCAGAATGGAGATTCATTCCCGACCACGAGAAGGACGAGTTGGGCCTGACGTTCGACATGGACGGTGAATTTTGGATGTCGTTTCAGGACTTTACGCGATATTTCACGCAGCTAGAGATATGTAACTTGAATCCGGATTCGTTGACCGAGAACGATTTAAACGCCGGTAAGAAGAAGTGGGAGATGAGCGTGTTCGAGGGGGAATGGGTGCGTGGTGTCACGGCTGGAGGTTGTAGGAACTTTTTAGGTAGGTGGTAATACATAATACTCCCTTTTAATTCTCATCGTTCGCGTGGCGCGAAAGAGTCCGACTTTCTTTGTCCGACGTGGATTCGCAGAAACGTTCTGGCATAACCCGCAATATCGAATTACCCTCGAGTACCCGGACGAAGACGACGACGACAAGTGTACAGTGATTGTTGCACTGATGCAGAAAAATAGGCGAGCACAGAGAAGAATGGGTGCTGAATGCCTCAGTATTGGATTCGCCATTTATCACGTACGTACACCACATGTACCGTATGGTGGCTGCCTTAATAAACTAAATAAACTAAATAAACAGTCGTGTGTAAATGTGTGTCGAGATATATATATATATATATATATATATATATATATATATATAT